CCCCAAAATGACGAGAGGGCCATGAAATACATGTTTGCTTGAGTTCACTTTTCATTGACAAGTGAGCTTAATACATCATTCTCGAGAATGAGGAAGCGCTGTCTATCCATGAGGTAGAAGCAAACTCAGAATTTCCTCGTAACCTTAAGGATTTGTCAAATCCTACATTGCGGAGGATAAATGACTTTCGCCATCCAATCTTTTCGGTTAAGGAATATGAAGCTAGTGTAATGCGGTGGTTGTTTATCTCTCGCTTTTGGTGACTTGGTTTTTAGGCTGTGTCAATAGCCTAAATACCTTCTCAGTTGCTAAATATATATATTCTCCCCAAGTACTGCCTTCTTTCTTCAGGAAAGCCGCCGGAAGATACACTAGAGACGGACAGATAAGAAAAGCGAAATTAATGCAAAACACGAGCATTCGAGGTTATCTTCATGCATCAACTATATGTAGCAAATCTTGAAGGCTAAAATTGTGAAGGCTTGCCACCAAATCGAAGTAGCGGTAAGGTTGCGAAAGACTGGTAGAGATAATCGATTGTGAATAGTTTATTGCACCCAAAAGCAAAAATCAGGTAATTTTAATTAAGTTATGGGTCATAAGTTGGTTTTTAACCATTCTTGTATTCAAGAGGAGAAAGAGTTTTAAGCTTCTCTTATTTTAAAAATTATCAGAAACTTTAGGTGGGTATCAGAAGCAACAAAAGATTGGTATTTATAAAAACATTTAACTATCTAGAAAAATGAGACTAGAATGGTATTTTTAGTTTTTCGTTGCAATTTACAATTACTTTAATTTAAATGTTTTTAATGGGCCATTGCCCGACCATTATGATGTAGCGGACCTTACGCATCCTTTAGGAAAGCCAATTAAATCCCACATCTCTTGCTTGAGAATGGCTACATCACAAAAGACTGAGTCTCCCCAAGAGGCTGTGTTTGGAGGTGCTGAGGGACCAGACGCAATGTATGTCAAGCTCGTTTCGTCAGACGATCATGAGTTTTATGTCAAGCGTGAATATGCCTTGACCAGTGGCATAATAAAGGCAATGCTCTCCGGCCCAGGTGTGTTTGCATTTCTACCTATTGCGGCTGCTTTTTATTGATTTATACACCATTTAGCTCATATTAAGACAACAAAACTATTACTGAAGCGGAATTTTTTTCGGTTTTTATTTAATGTTGGCGAAAAACGTGGTTTTGTCAATCGTCCAGGCATTTATTGGTCTTTCACTGTATACGATTCTGTAGCGTGCTTGCTAAGGATCTTGATGTCTTAATTTTAGAGATATCTAGTGCTAGAGTTGGTGTTTTAAGGCTCTTTGGTTGTTTCATATATATTCGATACGATATTGCCAATTCTTCAATTTTTTAAACAATTAGGGTGTTATTTTAAAAATAAACCATTAAAACCCTAATAAAGAGTACACAGTATTTGATTTTTATGCGTTGTTTTTATTGCTAATTATTTTGATGCGTCAATGCACAATTGGGTTTCTTTAGACACTTTTTATGCTTAAATAATAACTGAGGAATCTATGTGAACAAACTCCCACTTATTTTTTTGTCTTAGAATTTTGTTGCTTTTATTAGGGACTCAAGGTCCACGATTTTTAGCTGAATTGGTATCATTAACTAGTCTTAAATGCCTCTTAGATGAAGCATCGCGATTTGCATTTCACTCAGCACTTTGTCGTATTTTATCAAATTTTGTCAAAATGACCACCTAAGTGTAAATTAGTTCTGCTAGGTAATTAAAAAAATATTTTTGAGAATTTGTTCTCGAAGTTTTGGCAAAGTTTTTCCTAGGTTTGTATATTTGAAACAGGATTCGCCAAAGTGCTAATTATTAGATTTATTAACCTAGTGGATACAGGCATTTAGGTAACTTATCCATTGTGAATTTGACAGATCATCGATTCTATGTAGGTGTAAATTTGTCGGAAGTTGCGTGTTAGTGGAAACCACCTACCATAATCGAAAACTTCTGTCTGCTAAATAGATGGTCCTCGGGGCAAATGTGCGAATTCCCAGCTCCTGCTCGTGTAGTTATTGCTTAGTCCTGATCAGCTATCACGGCAGAAGTTTCTTTGATTGTACCATTTATAGAAAAACAGGAACACATTGAAAGTAGCGAATCTGTCGCGTACTTAGGAGAAAGGGATTACCGTAAGTTCGTTAAAAGCTAAGTCACTGGCCATGATAGCTTATAAGGGGAGAAGTGGTCCAATGAGGTCTCCAGCGCCTCAACTTCCCCCACATAGCTTTATGAGTTGTTTTATCATGCCAAATGAGGGTGCTAAGACTACTCACTAGCTGGATAACTATTAAATACCCATTCCAACTATACTGTAGCTTTCGAGTTGTTTCTAAGGAAGATGTAGGAATTATGAGTCCGGAGGTGTGTAGGAAGGCTCGGATGCTATTTCTTTAGGTGCAGTGTGCATTGATCCGTGCCAGCGCTGCCGTAGTCGAATTGCACGAGGCTTGAGAAGACCAGCATAGACGACTTCACTCCGGCAGAATGAATAATATTACTCAAAAGACACTGGAACTAGTGAATTTGTGTTGCATGTTTAGGAGGAGGAGGGTCCTAATGCAACACGTTAATGGCGAAGTCGCTAATCCTGATAGTTTTCGAGAAATGAATGGTCGTGAAAAAGTTGGGACTACTAAGACGATGTTACTTATGGTTGTGAATAGAACCTAGCTTTTATTAAGTAAACAGAAGTTTGAGGCGCGTACCACTACACAAACTCCGTTAATTCATTCATTCAGATTTGTGCCTCTGATATCGTCCCAATGCTTCGTCAAGCTGCAGTTAGGTAAGTCAGCGGAATGCTAACTCGTCTGTTATCGCGACTGAGTGATTAATTTGTTTCCAAGGCAGTATTTGAGTTGGCGTTACCAAGCGTAATGTAGGCGATTTATGTATTAGGGGCCTTGTGGCTCCAAGAGCATAGGCATGCGTTTAACGTTTTTTGCTTATGAATGTAGGCCAGTTCCAGGAGAACGAGACGAACGTTGTGCACTTCCGAGAGATACCCTCACATGTGTTGCAAAAGGTGTGCAGTTACTTCGCCTACAAGGTGCGCTACAGCAACTCCTCCTCGGAGATACCCGAGTTTCCCATTGCCCCGGAGATCAGTCTTGAGCTTCTAATGGCTGCCAACTTCCTCGACTGCTAGTGGCCCCAGTCTGCTCTATTCTCTTGACGTATTTTGCTCCAATATACGCACCCGTGATGCTGCTGCTGATAGGTACCCTGTTCAACTTCAAACTGTGCTATTTATGGTCACCTACCCCTTTCGGCATCGCGATCAAGTGGAGATATATAGTGCCATTTCAGACCAATGGGGAAAGTTTGTTGCTGACGCTACGTAACTTCTGGAAGTTATTTGGAGTATCGATATAAACGGGAATGATTTAGTCGCACCAGTATTTAGGGTGGTGATTGTGAACCTAAGAGGATGTGTCGAATCCGAATGTGGTTGACATTAACGAGGTTTCGCGTTTTGATGATACAATCATACATAGGTGTTTGGATCATGCTACTCCATGGATGAGCCAGGTGTAACTGGGGCTCGAAGTATCACTTTCGACTGAAGTTAACCCCTCTAAGACTTTTCAGTCGCGAGAGTAGTGCAAATCTGTAGCAGTCGTAAGATCGGATGGCTCGTGGATTTGTTGCGTATACCTACGGCCGTGTTAAAGTTTTGTCAAAGCGCGGAATATTGACATTCGTGGGACATGTTCAGCAAGTCCGCGAGGGTGTTTTCATTCGGAATAATTATTTTGCGCTGTTGAGCTTGCAAGTTGGCTAGTCTCGAAGTCGCAGTATGATTGAAAGTACATATGGTCTTTTAGTGCATTTCCGTGTGGAGCAGGTGTTTGGGACATCGACAATCAATTCAAGACAATCCATCGGCTTTTACAGAACCCATCGATTCCAAACCAAGCGCCTAACTGCATTCCAGAGTAGGCGCGAGTAGTAAATAAAGTATTAGCAGCAATAGAAAAGCTGGTTTTAGCCTACACTGCCCGATCACAGAAACAATTGAAGACTTCCAGGATAGATGCCTTTCCGGAGGGACACCCAATGCGCACTGTGTGGCGGTGGCAGTGCAATATCTGTTTTGCGTGGTACATACGGGTGTGAATAGGTGGTATGAGGGCTGCTAATGTCTGGGTTATGACTGTTTTTCGACAACCGGGTCATACCTGAGCTGTGCTTTTCTACTCAAAGTGAGGACGCGCCCATCTCGCATGTGGTATTGTTGCTCTATCCGAATGATCGACTTGTGCAAGTGGTGAGAACAGTGGGTGTAGTGAAGTGATGACCACCAGGAGCATTATGGATGTTTGTATATGAAACAGGGTTTATTGACAAGGAGATCAAAGGACTGTAACAAGACTGTAACAGAACAAGTATAAATGTGGGTAATATACTTGCATTACAGTAGTCAGACGCACTTAGAGAGAGCATCAATGCATTACAGTACCACACTCAACGTGCCTGTGGACTCCTATGCCTTCCGCACGCCGACAGTAAATCAATTACCTTAGCATAGCTGATCAGACTACTGGAGAAAACCTTAGAGGCTATAATCACCCGAAATTTTTAAAACAAGTTGGCTGCTGTAGCAGGGAGCCGACCTTAAAAAAGCGTAGAAGTCAACGAAACAACAGCAGGAAGTAATATGCAATAGCAATTGAAAAACCAGCACTAGATTTCTAAATTTATGAAATTTTGACTAAACTAGAGACTTGGTGCTTCATAAAGTGGAATGGGATGCTATTTTCTTATTTGCCACAGGAATTAGTTCAAGACAGTCCAATATGCCAAAACACCCTAACTTGTAATTTTCTTTGCATGAAAACTTTTGAACTGTTCAAAATACACAAATGAAAGAACATTTCATGCGAATGTAGCGATGGTAAAGTATTTTAAAACAACAAAGCCGCGGTGTGGTTAATTCGAATGTTATATTCACAGTATCGACGCCGTTTCGCGTGTGGCGTGTGCTCAGTAGCGTAATGGATAACACTCCCCAACCTGAAACTCCTGCCAAGGAAAATGAGTAATTTACCCCTTAACCTTTCCTATATTTTGTTTGTTTATTGACTTATTTTTGGTGACTTAATTTAATTGTAGATTCCGCAAAACATCCGTTGACGAGATATCAAACGCAGTCGCTAGTTCTGATAATGTAAATCACTTTTTCCGCTCTTGTACATGGCCTCTACGTGTTCCTGTTCGCAGTTGTAAAGGGAGTCGTCTTGTTAAGCTATTGAATCTTCAACACCAGGAGGAAAACTTGTTGATACTTTCCGACAATGATCACCATCAGTCTCTTCTCTCACGAGCTACCCAATTGGCCCTCCGACATCTCGATTTAGGCTCTTCTGCGCCCGACCATTTATCCAAAGTGCTAAATAAACGAGCAGCGGTGGCAGCTTCAGCAAGGCCCTACACTCCCGTGTCCGGGAATTCTCGGTTGACTAGTCCTCCACCCTCGGAACTTTCTAGCATCTCATCAGATGAGGTATTGCCAATTTCTAGAATTTCATACACTCATAAAATAGTGCCTCGTTAGTCCATTTCCTTGCAATTTAAAGCGTTCAGCAACGGTCCCGAGGAATGGAATCCTTTCCACCAGATCTTCACATCGTAATGGGCATCGAGCCGCTTCCTTCACCTTCCTTACCAGGGATGCCTCGTCGAGGAAGTCGGAGAACGATGAGATTTCCACGGAAAGCGGCTACGTCGCCTCCTCCGCTACTCCCGGTGCAAGCAGCTCCGGTTCTTCCTCCTTCAAGCGCAAATCCACCGCTACTCGTTACCATCAGGTGCGAATAATTGATAACAGACTAAAAAAGCCCGCCGATGAGGCAGCTCTTCTTCATGCGCGTCGCCGTACCTGTCCTTCGCACCGGTTCGTGCGATCCTACACGAACGACGAGGAGGATGGTAACGAAGAAGAGCCAGATCAGGAAGAGGAACAGCTGCTAACCTCCCCCTCAGCATCCGCCACTAGAGATACCATGGCAGCATCATCTGTGGCGGCTCCCACCTCCTCCATCCTGGTAATCAATCCTCCTGCGGGGGGTAACAACGGTGCCCAAAAACATGTCATCCTTCTCACCGGCTCGTCGGAGCCTTCCCCCTCCCTGCCCAGCTCTGAAGCAAATGAGTTGCGTGATGTTGAAAGCCCTCCAATCCCACCTGCACTTGTTGCATTTAACGCGGCTGGGGTCCATTTGCCGCCAGACACGCGACGTCACTCCAGCTTTGTTCCAACCTCAATTAGTGCAGTGGTGTCGGGTAAACGTGGTGGCGGCGGGAATGGGGCTCTGAAGCGATGCAACACCGCCTCCTCAGTGTATAGCGGCAATGGTGGTGGTGGGGAGCAGACACCACCTACACCAGCAAAGTCGACACTAAAGCCTGCCTCGGTTCGGCGCCACCACGAGTATGAGCAGCGACGACAGAGAGCTTCTCTGCCCTTCTCGTCCCACCCTCGAGCTCCTAATAGCTCGCCCGGTGTTTCTAGGCATGTCATCTCTTCTGATGAGGTGGAAACGGATAATGGTGGTGGCGGAGGCGTTGGCGGGAATTCGAGTCGATTCTCCACTCCGATGGAGCCCATCTGCGTGGTCAACCTTGCCACGCCTGTGAGGTAGGCTTTTACTCTCACTAAGGTTGTAATTGAATTGTATCCCATTTGTCTTCGAGATTTTAAACTCATACTTCCCCATCGCCCATGGAGTTGAGTACAACTTTGTGTTGTTTCGTAGCCAAGGTTGCACACTAACCGTAATCTTTCTTCTGCCCTATCAAGATCACATTTTTGAATTCGTGCAATAATATTCAACGTTATTTGCTATTTCCGTCCTGCATTTGGTTAGCCATAATCCTCAATTTGACGGCTTGAGAGAATCCCTCAAATAAACCTACGCATCCCTTCCAAACCCCAGCCCAGAAACGTCAATAGTACCACGTCAACCGCGGTCACTGGGGCGGTGCGCTGCCCGATGTGATGTAGATATAAAATCGCAGTCTGGTTTTAGTTTCCTTCATTTTGCGTTGGCGTTTTCGTAAAAAGTTATTTGCTCCTATTTATACTGGCATCTAGGCATATGCCTCGATTTTTAATGCAAATAGTCGTTTTGGTAGAGTCGTTGTGCATTACTGCTGTAATTTGAACTCTGTCTGGAATTGAGCCTTCAAAGATTACTTGAAATGATACCCTCGGTAGATATTGTTGAATTGTACTGACCCGCAAACTTTGCCCAACATGTTTTGGTGTTTTCATCAATGGCCTGTGTGATTCTCAATTTTTATTTACCCGTGATATTTGAATGTTATGCATATTAAGGCTGATGAGCCTAGCTAGATGTTTTAAAGGCGATTTTGTTGATCCAATTTGAACACAAAATCCAAGTTGACAATATACACCCTGTTTTTCAGCGGCAAAACCGCCCGATTCCTCTACCATTTTAATGGCTACCTGAAGTGATTTCTCACAAAGGGTCAAATTTAAGAATTTATTATTGTCGAAAGGGTGTATGCACAGTTTGTTTAGCAGCTGCGTTCCATTAGAGAGCTACCCTAATGTATAATTATCATGCAGATGTTAACGTCGTAACAGGGCTTGGATTTCCTGTCATTACCACTCCAGTGATCTCATGGTGTTATTTTTGATTATCCTTGATACTCTTGGGGATCTAACTTATCTGTTCACTCATTTCGCACTTGTCTAAATGGGTTAACACTTGTATTTTGAATTCAGAATGTATAGTCGCGACTTACGCATGGGCGGTGCAGAAAAAATCAGTTTTAGCAGGTGACGTTGTACTAGTACATGGGCCATGTGGCTGATGCTATGTAGGACCGCAAAAAGGAATAATAAATTGAAAAGCAACGGAAACTTTAATTTCATTTCACATGCTTTAGCATAATTTGATTTTACTAGCGTTCACTGATATTAGTAAGGTAAAGATGTAAGATGTTCGGATGCATGGGTTAAGCGATAGAAGGACTTAACATTCTTTGCTGTTTTTGTAGCATGAAGGTGAAACGCCAGTGCATTGTAGTTTTGCGTTACTTGGAAAATGTGCCCTTTTCGACAGTTGTTCCACAAGCTCTCGACACATTTGCTAGTTGATAACCGGGAATGAGAGGCAACTAACGCTTGTTTGGTTCCACTATGTCCAATTGGATAAATGAGGAAGGTGGCTTGACATTAAGTAATCACCAGTTGTGCTCCCCGAACTATATAGAGACGCCAGACCCTCAAACTCCTCATTAGTGATAAGTGCCTATTATGATCTGTCCTTCAAGGTTATCTCTGTTACCGACCCGTTAATATGACAAATGTATAGCAGTAGTTTCAGCAATTGCTCTGTTGCTTCCTGTGTTATGCTTATAGTTTTCTTATTAACATTATAGTTTGGTTAATAGAAGATCATGACCCTATGATTCACACACCTTTGTTTTTGTCCCCTTTCCCTCCACAAAAGCCAAAATCTTTCACTTGACGCCTCGGAGCAGAGGTTGCAACAGCGTGTAAACCTCCTTGTGGAGGGTGTTCGCTTCGTCGTCGACGTCGAAACCCTGCGGGCTCATCCCGACACCATGTTGGGTCGCATGTTCCAATCTGGTTTCAGGGAAAACGCTGCCGCTGGCTTCTACAACGGCCCAGTCGTATGTGGCAACTTCCATTTACTCAGCGGCACCACAACCTGCGAAGACGACGACGACGATGATGTTGATGATGATGATATGGAAGAGGAGGAGGCGGAAGTAAGTGGAACCAGTTCTGTATGCAGTGGCGGTCGTACAGTAGACGTGGAGCATTGGATGGCCTCAGCGTCGACATCGACATCTCGTGGCGTGGGCGGTGGAGCCATCTCAGGTGCCACTCACTCCGCCCCTGCCTCCTACCGATCGCACCGCGGTAGTCTGTGTGGTGGCGGGAGCGGAGGCCTGGGGCGATTGCGACACGGCCGACGGAGAATGCGGCGACATCAACGACAGCCCTCCGCGCAGTCCCACGCTACCAACGTCTCGACGGATGTGTGCTTGAGTGGGGCGGGTGTAGCAGCAAATGTCTTTCGGGTCATTCTTGACTACTACCTTGTGGGTAAAATGACCTGTCCGCCGGACGTCTCTGTGAGGCAGCTCAAGCAGGCCTGCGAGTACTTCCTCGTTCCCTTTAATCATGAAACTGTCTCCTGCTCAAACTTGCGTGAGTCAACTACTGATTGGTGGCACCGCGAAATTTGCTATTCCAAATTGTCCTTTTAACGTCTGCTTCTAGGGTTACATATTTCACGTGTTACCTGCTAGTTTATAATAACCGTTTACACCAAATTGCGGGTTACTAGTAGATTAGCCTAGTCTAAAGCTATACAATTGATGTAGGATGTTATTCGTTCCCGAAAAACGGTGTCATCAGAAAAAAACATGTTTTGTTTATGCGACTTAGCAAGATCTCTTAACGAAAGGAGAAGCAAACCTGTGGCTTTGTTCTTCTGTTTGTTTTGATACAGAATCACTGCGTTTGCGAATGCGATTATGCTAAGACCTTCTTATCGTTTACTGAAGACGGTATCGAAATCACTGTTTGAGGAAGCAGCTTTGTTTTTCACATTTGATTGCAAAAAATTAAAGTAATTTTTTGTTTATAATTTGCAATTAGAAAGAATAAAACGAAACGAAATAGCCTTGGTTGGTGATTATCCATTGATCGTATGCTTGCATACGCGAACACGCTCACTGTCATCGAACTAAGTGGAAGGGTACATCTCACATGACATGACACGGTAACATTACATAACGTGACAATAAAGTACATAAAATTCGACTGTTTTGCCTTGCTTTCTAGTCATGAAGTGTGGAGGCGAATCTGGTGTTAGTGCTACAAGTGTCCGGGCAAGCTGGACGGTTTGGTTTTTGGCTAATAGCTATGTACTCTACTTGTGTAAGAAGTTGTATTTTCCCAGTTACTGAGCTACTTCATTGGGTAATTTTTAATGTAGTAGAGTATTTCACGTAGGCAGGAAACACTTTTCTGTACTACAATTTTCTTAATTCCGCTTGCATACACGTCTGTCTCCAAATTGCAGTCAATAAGTAGTAATTATCATTTAAGGTCACTGCTTCTGTGCCATTGAGTTCACTAGCCGCTTTCGCACACTCATGCGATGTGCATTGAATTCCCTCAATGCTTTCTCAAGAAACTGTCGATCATATATTTGTGCTGTATGAACTATCCAATGCACACGCGATTTCCCACGTCTCATTTCATGAAACTCATTTAATATGTCGATTTTAATGGCCCTTGTCTCCTATTGAAACACTATCCCGCCTTTTAATTAGTGTAGGCTATGCCCTGACTCTTCATAGGAGTATTTTTTTCCTGTTTGTGTACGTACGATTGTCTTGGTAAAAATTGCATTTGCTGCCTCTGCTCAAAAACTTTTGTCAACACATGCCTGGTGTTAAGCCATTTTGTCTCCAAACTTGTCTCAAGTCACCGAAATATTTGCCATTTGTATGCACAAACAATGCGTTCCAATTAGATGTACTAAGTTAGATACTATCCTCCTTGCGCTCGGTCTCATGCGTGTGAGCGTTTGGTCTCATCATAACTATCGATCATTTTTTCGTTTGTTTATTCACCCAGTCCCCATATCTGACCATTGTACCTGTTTTTTGTTCCCCCTTTATTCTGGGGCAATGTTTGTGTCCATGGTATTTTTGTTGATATCACTTATTCTTTGTGTCCTGGTTTGTTGTCCTGTTGACTCACCCCCTTATTGGTAAGTTATGTCTATGAGGAGGTAGGAACCCACTATTGGGCATCAAGTATGTCCAAGGCATGTTAATTCATCTCCGTCAGTCTTGGGCTTGGTATATAAGATTCTCTTTCATCTGAGTCATCTACGAATGGTTTAGGAATTGTATGACTGATCGTACTGGTGAGAAAATCGCTAGTTTGCGGAAGGAAGGATAGCATATAGGACGGTTTCAGGAAGGCTGAACATGTGTTAAACCTGCCCATACTCAAGTGAATAGTCGTACTAGACACATTAGAGTGTCAAATAGAAGTTTTAATTGCTCCTTTTGCCTGTTTCTTACACACTTGACCCACCGATAAGTCACTTCGTTTGCAGAGATCTGAACTCATCATTGTCAGATTTAAAATAAGGTTTAAAGTGCCGGAAGTTCCGAAACCGCCCCTCTTAGACTGACCTAAATGTCTGTTGTGTAGTGTTTTACTCGTTTTTTTATCTTGATTAGACAGCGAACGGTGTAATAAGCTTCCCAACACATTGTAATGTTGGATTTGACGATAGAAAATATTTCTCAAAAGGCCCAGTATTATTTCTCGACATTTCAGTGCGCCAGTTTTTGCGACATCCCAAATGGAAATCAGTAATAAAATACGAAGTATGGACTCACCTTAGTTTAGGGATGTTTCCAATTTTATTATCATCGGTGTATCTTTCTCTCATCTTGAATGACACGAATCAAGGGGTTTGATGATCGGCGTTCTAATGTTGGACATGCAGAGCGCTTCGGATGTTTACTTGATTTCAATCATGGCCACAAGGAAGGGAAAAGTTCTTCTAAAGACGCTAGCTTTGCCTATACCCAAGCTGGTGATAGCTCTATGTGCACTGGTGTGTGTAAAACAGGTCCTTAGAAGATTGCCCCCGTTTATTCTTGAGTCGTCATCCAGAAAGGCAAAATGCCGTAGTTGCTGTTCATTGCTTGAAAATAAACTGCACACGTGAGTTATTTTAAAATAAAATTTCCGAGGTACCGATGGGGTTGAAACTGTCTTCCTTAAATGTGCTGAAGCCTTAATAAACGGCGCAATAAGCCATTTAACCTTATTTTAATGTAGTGGAAACTATGGTTCAGTTTCACTAGTCTTGGAGCATCAACCTACCTACTTTTTCCGTTTTATGTTCGGAGGTATGAATGTCTCTCCCTTCTTTTTTTGCGTTTCTGAACTGCTGACGTGTATTATTTGAATCACGCAGGAGGCAGAAATATTAAGTTATCAGCTTTATCGCTATCGGTGCGTCCTCCCTCCCATGTTGGGTGTCGAGGATTGGCAGTTGCATTAACCTTTTCACCATGACCTAAAAATCAATCCACAGGTTGTCAGGACTTTATTAGTCTTCTTTTTAATTCTACATCTCACGAAAATCGGTGAAGAGTATTGAAGGCCTGTAATATAATCACTATCTGAGGTACCCTGATTTAATCTTGTAGTAATGAAGAAAATGTATACTAGAGGAAGCATTTCTCAGATCACTGGCCACATCGTGATATGCGTTAAAATTCCTAGTTTTAACTTTATTTACTAGCTTACAGAAGAGTTGAGACAAGTAGCATAGATAAGGTGAGCAGGCCTTGATTCCACCCTCATAAAAACTGATTCGCAGATGACTAAAAAAGGCCTCTATAATGGCATGTGCAATTAAATCAAAAATAATTCTGCCGCATTTCTATTTGTGACTGTTTGTAGTGCCGAATCAAATACGGGATCCTGACCTGAGAATAAGCATAGAAAGGGGAGAGTTTATAAGGAACTAGGATTGTAAGAGAACCCCACGTAATTCATGTGAAAGAGAAGGTGTAACACAGTAGGCTGAATCACCAGTACTTAAAGTAGTTAGTGGCGGGATTTACAGCCCGCATATTGAAAGCTTTGTGCTTTTAAATGAAATCCATCTAAACGTGTCGGATGGTAGGCGGCAGCTCAACTCTTCACTTGAGCTATTCCTTGTGTGCTGCAGCGTATAAAGAGGTGTCACTTCGAATCCAGGTCTTACTCCGATGTCCTTTTCACCGTCTATCTTGGGTATTTCCGTCTGTAGCTAAGTTGACTCACCTGATTTGAATCATTAATGAGCGATGAATTACGTTGGGTACAGCCCACTGCGTTGCCACCCTTTTAGTGCGCCTCCCTAACTGACATTTATCAAATGCAGGGTATTTGGTGAAGCGTTGGAAGGTTGTAAACGCGGTAGACCTAAATGTTATGCTTTATGCTCTGGGTCCTTCATCATGCACACATTTCCATTCTCTCGGTTGAACTAGTGGCTTGTAAGACTCTTCCTTTTCCCGTATACCCTTCTAGATAGAGAATTATTTCATGGGTGTCCAAGAATTTGCAACTGGAGTGAAAAGCCAAAAAGATAGACACAGTGATGGGAGTTGCAGATAGTTGGGTGTTGAAACCGTTGCTTCGGGGGTTTTCTATTCTCTGTCTTACCTTTTGACGCATTATTACGTAACACCTTGATTATACCCGGAGACGCTTGACCACGTGCCAATTTAGAGGTATTTTTAGTATGGACTCGCAGAAGAGTTGAAAGACTGATGGTTCAGATGTCATGAATAGTCAGGAATGGAATGTGTACGCAAGTTTTTGCTGTGCAAGACTCCGAACTTGGTTGATGACGTCGTTTCAATAGCCCTTCTATTGTGAGTCCTTGCGGCCTGATGGATTCACGGTAGATGCTTTCGTAGTTTGAGGTTTTCGTGCAGCATAAAGTCAGTGAAATCGGGATTTTTGTTTATTTTGAATCAGTTTTACCTACCACCACCACCACCACCAATGTAGTTCGTTTTTAGGCTAGCTATTCTGAAAGTAGATCAATTTTAGATGCGCAGAGGGGTTGGGAGATCAGCAACAGGTGATGTGGGTAGTACGTCATGTCACTAGTCGCTGGAGGTCGGGAGGATCCACACATTCTAATATGGTAATTAGTAGTCTGTTACAAATCAGTGAGATCTACATTTTGGATATTGCAATCGCTTCTTTCCTCTCACCTCCCAGGTGAATTTCTACACGAAGTCTCCAATGACGGTGCGTACATGATATTCGAGCAGTTTCTCGACGAGCAAATCGTGCCTCAATTCATGAAGTGCGCGCACATGGGCGAACGCGAGTGTCATATTGTCATTCTAACGGATGACGAGCAGGTCCATTGGGATGACGAATATCCTCCCCAAATGCCCGAGGCTGAACTCACCTCCCACAGTAAGTCAATCCTCTGTCTTCCCTGCTTTGTATCGAAATATATTTCCTTTCCAATCCCATCGTCCAAATTGCCTAGTAATATTATCATATTATGCCTTCTCTCCACCTCATTGCTTCATTGTTGAACGATGGCGTATGTCCTTTTGATCTTTTCTACATTTTCTTTGTGTAAGGATAATTTTGAGACATCATTTCCTAGCCCTGGCTCGAGTGCTACTATTGATGGTTTACCCTTCTCTTTTCTGTGACCATTTCGCTTCTCTGTCTGCGAGGATTGACTCTAGCCGCTCCTGTTATGCATATGGCCTAAGGTCTTTCAGCTAACTTCCATGTTCTTTCTTCATCATCTTACATTATTCTGTCCATTGCCTTCGTCTTGCGATGTCAGCGCAATGTCAAATTGGCAGGATTTTGCTCTTGAGAATCAAATTTACGAAGAGGTGGGAGGGCAACTTTGGTTGTGAAATAACTTTTTTGCTTTTAAAGCGCAGATGATTACCTCGTAGAAAAAGTCATGTTGGAAACTAGAGTTGTACAGCAGGGGTTTGGCTACGAGGTAGATTCTTAGTACGCGAATGTGTAATGTTTCCGTTCTGGTTATACTTAGTCTTCTAGCCCTTTGTGATGTTGTCTCGCCGATGGTTTAAGATTGGTTAATATATTAAGCTAGAGGTAACATGCACCCCTCAACTTTAGTCTACATGGCTACCTCCATTTCCATTGCGCGGGTGGTGCCAGATACCTAGGGAAACTGCTAGCCTGTCGTCTAGCGATATATGATTGTTTTTGTTCTTAACAGAGACGACACGTAAATATGTGACTTATCGTTGCTGGGCCTAACTCGAATGTGGACGTGATGGTAACTATGGGATTTACTGGACATCAAAGAACCACATGGGTTGAATCATGTCTGGCTAATTACAATGAAATGCATGCGGAGCGATAGCCCAAATCAAAGCGTTTTTATGTATGCCCACCAGATTACTCACTATTGTTGAAGAAAGATCAAAACACTGGTCATTGTTTAAAGTTACGAATAAGTTTGAAGCGTTTAGAATTGCTTCTTAAAAAATGGTAGTTTACTAAAACGCTTTATCAAGGCATTTTTTTGCGTAGCCGCTTCATTAAGCTGTTCTTCGATGCATTTATTTGCTATCATACGTGAATCTCGTTGTCAAGGTCTTAAATTACTGCCATCAGTCTGAATCTGGACGTTTTGTAGGATTTTACACTGTCGTATGGTGTTTCCATCCCGGGCATGGCCAAACGTCAATTGATCATGTAACATGGGTCATAAGTCTACCGAGGTCATTGTTTGGACCGGTGAGCGGCGGTAGTGCTACTGCGTTAAAATATATATAGTGGATGGGTGGTTCAAATCGTTCTTCATTTGTTTGACACAGTTGTTTCTATAGTGGAACAGGACAGTTCTAAAATAACATTTCGTTACCCGGGGAGCGGTCTGTGAATGCGCTTGAATGGCGCTTGATTCTCTTTGAGTAATCCGTGGTTGGTAATCTTCCCGGTGCATTCTGAAAATGCGGCAAAGATTTATGGTTCTAACTCCCTCTCATTAATCAACAAGCACCAGAGAATTGAGCCTCAGTTCTTACTTTTCCTCGTGTTATGTTTAAAGGAATCCTGTTATCTTTTTAAACCGGTATAAATTGATAGAATCTATGGCGATTCCGTGGCCCATGAACATCAGTATTTTGGGTTTTTACCGCAAAAGATCATTTAAAAATATGCTTCTTTAGCAAATGGAGAGTAAATTTCCACTCATTCACTGTATTCAGATGATAAAACGGATATCGTCTCTGCAAAGTTGCCTGAGGCTGCATTGTCTTTTATGAACTGCTGCTTCCGAACTCAAAAAGACGCTAACAGCTTGGTGTCTAATCGCACTTAATTTGTGCTGTTTTATTTTTTATGGTCAGACCCCACTGGTCTGTTTTATTGTTTCGTCAAAAAATTACACACATGCTCTCACACTCTCTTCACCTTGCATGTATTTTAAGGCCAAATACAGTGCTTCGCGTCAGCTATTACTATAAGATGACAAAACAAGCTGATACTGTTCTTGTAATAAAAAATAAATGACTTGAAATATTGAAATACATTATTCGATGAAATAATTTGCATTACACTTCATACCCCCCTCCCAACGAGACGGGTTTTTTGTCTCTAGGACCAAACAATTTTGTTATGCCTACTTCGGTTTTAATCTCACTTTAACTCTCCAACTGTTTGTTCCGTTTGGCTTGTAATTATGTGATTGTCTAAATCTACTTCCAAGAAATGGTGGTAGTTAATTTGAGCTTAGAGAAACACGAGGAGAAAACGTAGAATGAAGATGACACAGTAGTTCCCTCCTATCTCAGCCGGAAATGTGATCTCATGTCTTGCAAAAGCAACAATGAGACTTCCTTTCGGCTGCTTCGCTTATTCTGACGGTTTATCACGAAGAAGGAGGAGAAGCATTTCCACCACTTCCTCAAATTCTGCCTTATCGTACAGAGTC